TCGTGTCAAAGGCTCTTGTTTTGAGGGTGAGCAGATGTGTCTTGGATGGCTTCAGCTACCGCAGGGTGGAAGGGAGCATCCAGCGAGCTGCGCTGTTTGGTACTCGGGTACCAGCCGGGCAGGTTTGAGGAGTTCCTGGAAATGCCTCTGTGTTGGGATGGACGCAGACTGGGAGGGGAGCTTGGGAAGAAGTAGCAGGACGGCCTGGGGGGTGTGCAAGCACACGGGACGTGATCTGAGCAACTCTGCGCCTGATACTCGCTGCTCCCGTGCCCAGCTTGCAGTGAAATGTTTCTCATGTATCTGTTAGACTTGCGGAAAACACTTGTATTTTGCCACTTGCAGGTGGGTAACCAACCAAGACAGTCTGGCACCAGAGGATCCTTGTTTCTTCTGTGATGTCTGCTTTCGAATGCTCCACTACGATGCAGAAGGCAATAAACTGGGGGAGTTTCTTGCGTATCCTTATGTTGATCCTGGGATTTTCAATTAGAGCCAGGAGGAGTTTGGTGAGAGGCACTGGTGGCTCTGCTGCGGCGGCAGCTTGAGGGTTTGGCTGGTGGCGGCCCCTGGCTTTGCAACTCTGCCCTGGGGTGGAAGGAGCCCTTGGCACTTGGAGTCTGTTCGTTAATGCTGGTTTTCTGACCAGTAAGTGAAACTGTGACTGTAAAAGGTGTTAAAGTTGCTAATATGGAAAGAATGTGCTCACACATGTACTTGATTTTAATAAAGTACATTTTCTAATATGCTTTGTCTACAGTGTTGTGGTTTGGGAAATTACAGCCTTTGAAAATCAGTATGTTTAAAGAATGCCTTACAACAGTAGTTAATTTCTCAAGACATGCTGCCCATTGAAGCCTCCTTTAGCCCCAGAGGATGAGAGCGTCTTGAGAACGTGCACAGTTGTCACGCGAGCCGGGCTGGAGAGCAGTGCCCTGCGCTGCCTGGAGGAGAGGCCAAAGCACCAGGTAGGTTCCACATCCTCCCTTCAAACAGAGGGTACCCGTGTCTGTACAGAGGGTACCAGTGTCTGCAAACCCCATGTCTTTGCCTTGAGACTCTGAGGACCGACCCTGTGAAGGTCAGCCATGTCCTGCCCTTCAGATAATTTGGTCGAGTGTTTGCAATGTACATGGTTTTTATGTGTTCTTTCTTGGTGTCCTTCTGTCTGTTGTTTTACATCGTGTTGTTTTTATTAGAATGTGACCAATTTGTACTTGTTCTGATAATCTGCTGTTATGCTGAAGGACTACTTGCCATGGCACCTAGTCTCCTTTTAAAGTTGTCTGTGATATGGAGAAGTTCCATAGACATCTCCCCTGTGACCTAGTGACACCCCATACTTCTTTTGTGCAGACTTGATGTGGTTCTTAAAAAAAAAAAAAAAAAAAATGCTTAGTGTAAAAGCCATCTCACTGTGATAACCCTCATCTGGAGCCACGTCTGGCAAGGTCCTGAGACCACAGGTCAAGCAGATGGCTGCTTGGTTATTTTAGATGTCTTGAAACAAAAGTGGGACTGCCTTCCAGTGGTGTGTTAACTTGTGTGTTTGTGTGTTGTTGTTTTGTTTGTCTGGTTTTACAAGAAAAAGAGAACTTGGAAGAAAATCCATATAACCTTGAGCTCACTCGAGTTGTGTTCTGCTTACTTCAGAATCAAACTAGGAAACTCGTTTCTTAAGGCTGAAAACAGCTACATCCAGAATAGCTTTTTGTCTGTGGAAAAATGAGTCCTATGCCCAAAACACCAAATGCTACTGCAGGTTAATCTGCAAGGGTAGACTAACGCGCACTGGGAATAAAGTACACACTTTAGTGTTTAGTACTCCTGCTCGCTTACTTGTACTTTTTATACTTAAGCCTTTTAAGGTTTTCATAGTTGCTGTCTGGAAGCTAAATGGGTAAAGGTAGGAAGAGTGAACATGTTGGAGGTGTTGAGGCTTCACCTGCTGTTCTGCCTCTCCACAAGCTTGTCTGCCTTGTGCTGCTGCAAAA